CTAACTTCCTGCTTCCCCTGCCCACAGCCCCTGGTAACACCTAATCCACTTTTTGTCTCTATGAATTTAATGTCAGGCATTCTTACTTAACTGTATATATCTCCTAAAATGTAGCAGCCATAGAAAGAATAGACCCTGAGGTGAAAAGGAAAGGGAGTTTGGGGTTAAAAACCAAATTATGATTTTCTTAAATATGACTTAAACATAGTTGAGAACTTTTTATTATGACTGAGTACTTCAGTTCCCCCAGAGAAAGCAAAATGAAAGTCCTTCTGTTGTGCTATAAATCAGCACCTTTCTTTCCTCTTTCAGTGACCATGCAGCAGGTAGCCAGGACAGTGGCTAAAGTGGAACTCTCAGACCACGTGTGCGATGTGGTGTTTGCGCTCTTCGACTGCGATGGTGAGTGGGGCCCTGGCAGTAGACACCGTTTATGATGGAGCCTGGCAGGCAGCTCCAGGGTACTAAGACCTCTTCAGCTTACCCCTTTCTCGTAGCAGCAGCTCAGCCCTCAGCCTCATGACATTGAGAAACGTAACCCCAGGTCCTGGTTTGCGTTTTTCACTTCTTAGAATTCCAGTTTGCCTGTGAGCTTAAGTTAACTTATGACCATAAAGATCTTAAATATGGAAGCAAATATATTAGACTCACCTTGCTGCTTAGTAGATCAGGAGCACACGATTCATAATTATCTGAATGTGTCTAGAAAGAAGGTGGTACCAGGGTGTCTGGGTGGCTCAGTCAGTTGAGCATCCAGCTCTGGCTCAGGTCATGATCTTGCAGTTGATGAGTTCGAGCCCCACATTGGGCTCTCTGCTGTCAGCACAGAGTCCACTTCAGATCCTCTTTCCCCCTTTGTGCGTCTCCCCACTCATGGGCACGCTTGTGTACCCACTCTCTCTCTCAATAAGTAAGCATTAAAAAAGGAAGGAAGGGAGGGGAGGGGAGGGAAGAAGGGAAGGGAAAAAGGGAAGGGAAGGGAAGGGAAGGGAAGGGAAGGGAAGGGAAGGGAAGGGAAGGGAAGGGAAGGGAAGGGAGAAAAAAAGAGGCACTAATCTCTCCAAGGCACATCCCAGTCATTCACATTCCATGGTAGCCGTCCGGCCCGCAGTGGTCTGTTATGTCTGTGGCCAGTCCGTAGTTTAGCCCAGTTAAGAGATCCTGGTTCTGCTCTGGCATCATTTCTCCACTCTTTCATCTGACACAACACTGCTACTAATATTCACAATAGAGGCTTGGCCTTTTTTTCAGTGCTCACTAAGAGCCAGGCATTGTGCTAATCCTCTGACGTAGGAACTGTTATTCACCATGGTTTCCACATAAGGAAGCTGAGACTCAGAAAGGTGAGGTAATTTTCCCAGGATCACATAGGGGGTAGTAGACAGCATAACCAGGATTTGAATCCAAGCTGTGCCGCCTCCTCTGTCCTGTATGACGTCCACTGCTTGTTTCCCAGCCAAGATTCACCATTCATCTCCCTCTAGCAAGCAAGGCTGATGGAATCCAGGAACCAGGTCAGAAGTCCCCAGGGGCGCCTGGGTGGCTCAGTCAGTTGAGCATCCGACTTCGGCTCAGGTCATGATCTCACAGATCGTGGGTTCGAGCCCTACATCGGGCTCTGTGCTGACAGCTAGCTTAGAGCCTGGAGCCTGCTTCAGATTCTGTATCTCCCTCTCTCTCTGACCCTCCTCTGCTCATGCTGTCTGTTCTCTCTCTCTCAGAAATAAATTTAAAAAAACATTGAAAAAAAAAAAGAAGTCCCTGCCTATGTGAACCTTCGTGCTGGTCCCAGCATAATGAATCACTCTGACTTTTTCATTCCTTGTTTCAATTTGTCATCATTACTATGCTTTACACTCTATCTCTGAGTGACTGAACTTCCCTACTATGAGCTTTTTAAAGTTTTTATTTTGATTCCAGTGAGTTAACATACGGTGTGTTATTAGTGCCAGGTGTACAATATAGTGATTCAGCACTTCTATACATCGCCCAGTGCTCATCACAAGTGCCCTCCTTAATCCCCAGCACCTAGTCTACCCAGCCCTCCACCCTCCTCCTCTCTGGTAACCACAAGCTTGTTCTCTAAAATTAAGAGTCTGTTTCTTGCTTGTCTCTCTCTATATACATATATTCTTTTTATCGCTTTGCTTTGTTTTGTTTCTTAAACTCTACATATGAGTTAAATCATATGGCATTTGTCTTTCTCTGACTGACTTATTTCATTTAGCATTATACTTTCTAGCTCCATCCATGTTGTTGCAAATGGCAAGATTTCATTCTTTTTTATGGCTGAAAAATATTCCATTGTGTATGTATACACACACACACTCATATATATATACTACATCTTCTTTATCCATTCATCAGGCCATGGACACTTGGGCTGCTTCCATATCTTGACTATTATAGATAATGCTACTATAAATTGTGAACTTTTTAAGGGTAGTTACAAGTCCCCTGTTCACCTTGGAACCCCTCCCTAGAACCTTGGGTAGTACTTTGCACATAACAGTTGTTCATTAACTTAAGTTACTGAAGTTATTAAGTTGAACTTGAGTTATTTAAACCTCCGATCCATACCCACAACTGAGGTCTGAGTCAAAGAAAACTCCAGGGTTAGCACAAGAAGATGGCCTCACCCTCAGGTAGGCGGGGTTATTCTCAGAGAGAGAGGGAGATACAGAATCTGAAACAGGCTCCAAGCTCTGAGCTGGCAGTCAGCACAGAGCCCAATGCAGGGCTCGAACCCAAGAACCGTGAGATCATGACCTGAGCCAAAGTTGAACGCTTAACCAGACTGAGCCACCCAGGCTTCCCCCCTTAATTCCATTCTTAATAAGCCATATTACTGATTACTTTTCACCCAGCCAGGCTACTTTTTAACTCTTTATTGAAGTATAATATACATACTGAAAAGTACAAATATCCTAAGTATACAGCTTGCTTTTAAAAAAACTGAACATACCTATGTAACCAGTATTATCCAGAAACAGCACATTCATGGGACGACAGGGCCCCCTGGTGCTGCCTTCCAGTCACTTCCTCTCCCAAGGGCAGTCAGTTTCCTGGCTGTAGAATTCTGTAGATTAAGTCTTCCTGGGTTTGCTTGTTTGTTTGATCTTGCTATGAGGTATCACTGAGGCTGTCCATGCTCTCTTCAGCCAGAAAACATGGGCCAGGTTAGGTTTTCAAGTACTCTCTATAGAAGTAAGCCGTGTACTCTTTCCACTCTCTTCCCAGACTGATCGTTAGTAAGTCTGTTTGCTGGTTTCCTCTTGTCTTATCCCTACCAGTAATGGTGGCCATTCTTTTCATCAGCAGATGTTTACTCCTGGGCGTATAGTCAAAGGGTAACTGTCCTCTACTATTGAAGTGGTTACTGTTTTGTGTGGCTGAAGAGATTGACCTTTGGTTCGACCAGATGCTTTCCAAGTTCCCTTCCAGACCCAAGAGTCTGCCACTGAAGAGGGTAGAATGGGAGGCCATGAGAAAATGGGCTTATCCCAAAGCCGGATTCTGATTTTGGTTTTTGCCAAAGAAACCCCCCATCATCATCTCTCACCTGGACAACAGTCTTCCTGACTGAGCCCTGTGCTCCAGTTGTGCCTCTGTCCAGTCGCATCCCCACACAGCCAGCCAGGGAAATCCAGCCTCAAGGGAAACCTAACTCCATCTCACCTACCTACTTCCAGTCCTTCCCTGGGGCTCTACCACCTAGAAGATAGAGAACAAACCCTTTCATGAAAATACAAGACTCTTGGGGACCTGTGACCTGCCTTCCTCTTCCATTCACTCGCCCCCACCCCCGTGTCCGGCAATTTGCACCTTTGCTTAAGTGAACACCACTACCTAGAATGCCTCCCCCGCCTCACTCCCCTTTACTTGGCCAGTTTCTGCTCATCCCTTGGGATTCAGCTTAGGAGTCACCTCCAGAAGGCCTTTACTGCCCTGTACTTGCACCACCCCAAGCCTGGGTTCCATATCGTCCTCTGCGCCCCCATAGCATCTTCCGTCTACCCCATTATGGCATTTACCACGCTGTTGAAATAATGTATTTGTTTCTCCCACAACCTGGGAGTGTTTCAAGGAACAAAGTCTTATTTATCTCTTTATTCTCAACTCCTAGCGTAGCACCTGACCTATAATATATTCTCATTCAGCGTTGGTCACACTACACTAAACTGTCACTGAGTTGTAATCAGAAACATCGAGGAAGGAGCAAACCGTTCATTTTAAGCCAAAAGAACTGAATTTGGCTGTGAGATTGCCCTGGGCTTTGGAACCCACATGGCGTGAACAGTTGAATTTTCTCCGTGTCTTTGTTCTAAGGCCTCCACTTATCCCTGTTGTGTTTGCCTCTTCCTCTAGGCAACGGGGAGCTGAGCAATAAGGAGTTCGTTTCCATCATGAAGCAGCGGCTGATGAGAGGACTAGAGAAGCCCAAAGACATGGGCTTTACCCGCCTCATGCAGGCCATGTGGAAATGTGCACAAGAAACCGCCTGGGACTTTGCTTTGCCGAAACAGTAACCCAGAACTGCAAGAGGGGCCTCCTCCTCCACCCAAGCCAGCCTGGCCCCTTGAGCAGAGCCTTGGCACAGTCCTTCCTGCTGCTGCTTCTGGAAGTAGTGCTCCCTTCCTCCTGGGAATGATCTCGGGAATCAACCAGTCTTCCCTCTCCACCCTTCCCCTGTCTAAGCATCTCTGCTCAGCTCTGATGCTGCCCAGTGATTAGGTTCTCAAAAACATGAACAAGTCCCACAAGTTCGGCCTTTGGCACCTGCATCAGCACCACGCATTCAGGCACCCTATGGATAAAGAACGCAGGGGGTCATCCACGTACCTGCCAACCCTGGGAAACACCCAGTTCTCGAGTCATTCTTGCCGCGGATTCACATTAAGAACATCCTTGCTTTTCCTCCTGCTCGTACTTTTAAACCACGAGCTGGGAAGACCTCTGAAAGGCCAAAGGTCATGAATGGTCATGAGGAAGAGCCGGGCCGCCTGAGCTGGTGGGAAGCCTGGGCCAGAGGAAGGATCCACGTCGGTCCCCGGGGTGGCCCTGACGCCTGCTCCAAGGAGGTGTTCTGCACCGTGGGAATGGAGCAAGATTTGGAGTTTACAGCAGCCGCTTCATGGCTCTCTCCACTCCTCTATTTTCCTCCCAGGCTCCCTGAGAGGGCTCCACCATGACTGTGCTTAATGAGCAGCAGTGACTGAGTTCATGTTCCCTGCAAGTGCCATTTCCCCTCCAGGAATGTGCCTCTGAAGCCGAGGCAGAGCCTGTCTGCCCTCCGTCTTAAACACTTGTAAAATATCACTTTCATTGTAACAGTTTGCAATAAACTCCCCTCCCCCTCCCCCACCAAAGGCTCTTGTCTCTTTTATTTTAGGATCCTCTGGGGTACTTTTCATTTCATTTCTCCAATGGGTTGGAGACCCTGCTAGCAGCGGATCTGCTTCATTTCTACCACAGTCTGGTTCTTCCTGTTCAAAGGCAACCTCAGGCACAAGCAAAAAGCGAGGGCATTTGGAGGTTAATGATGGCACTGTCGCTGCACAGTTTGGGTGTCATTTCATCTCGGGCCAGGTACATAGTCCTTGATGTCCCCTACCCCACGGTTGGGAACTAAAGTGGGGTGGAGGAGTATATAGGAAATCAGCTGGTGTGGCGGCTCTGAATTTAAGAGCCACAGCAACCAGTGTTTTATATGGATTCAGCTCTCACTACCTCGGTGTGGCCTTGAACAAGCAATTTCCCATCTGGTTCCTCAACTGTAAAATGACCGGGTTGAGAGTAATGGGCTCTTAAGTTTTCTTCCTTCCAGGTCCCCAGAGCCGCTCCTTCAGCTCTCCTCCAGAATTCCCGCAGCCTCCAGAAGCTCCAGGCAGTGCCCCCAGCACGCGAGTGTCTCGAGTCTGATGCAATAGACGAACCACACCAAACACCCGGTGCTTCCCGCAAGGCCTGGAAGCCGGTAGGAAGTGTTTATCAGCCACATAAGAGCAGGGGCCTGGGTCTGTGGTTCTGCAAGGACAGTACCAGCTCCAGTGTCTCCCCTAGAGCAGTGTAACAAGTTCATTTCCAATGTCCTTTCCGGGAGCAGGTTAGACTATCTCTCAAAGGAGCTTGCCATTCACCTAATTCATGTACCTTCCACTCTTTCCTTTCTTGGGATATGTATTCCTGGTACCCAGGTGGAGGCTTTGCCTTGCTCACTGCCTCAGGGCTGAGGCATCAGCAAAATGTGAGCTTTTCTTACATTTGTCCCGGAATCCCCAGATCACCTTTTCTGCAACCCTCGTTTCTCCAGCCTGGAAGCGAAGTCCCATTCACAGCCTTTATGGGGCACTCATTCCCCTGCAAGAAGAGATCTGCTGTTTGGCCTGGGTTCACTCAAGCAGTAAGCCAGAGCAAAGCAGGAGAGAGTAAAGATCTTACCTACAGCTTGAAACCCAAGGTCAAGGGCACCCACTTATCACAGGTACATGGAATTCCAACTTTAGGTCCTGGGAGTGCCTGGGGAAGCACAGGAGGTCCAGGTGCTCTAGAAGACAGGATGACCTCACCTGGGCACAATCGAGAGGAACAAGCTAGGTCACCCGGAAGAGCCCAGGGTCCCCCAAGGACGTCCTTGAGCAAGGCGGCATGTGAGCAGGCCTGAGAGGGTTTCAGTAGGCAGCATTTGGGGGAGGCTGGGAGCACTGAGGGGTACAGAAGGCTGATGTGTGCTTCCCTTTTTATTCAGATGGTTTCTTCTGCCTAAATAGAATAACCTCTCTTTCTTCAAGACTCCACTCCAGCTCTTCCCCACTTAGGAAGCCCACGTGGATCCTCTTCCAGACAAGATTAGTAGTCCCTCCTCTACCTCCCAGGGATCACTGGCCCACCCCTGACACCACTGCTGTAATCATGTAATGTTTGTGAGATTGTCACCCACAAAGTTCAGACCCAAAGCAGTGACATGGTCAAAAAACAGTCCACCACCAAAAGCTAATTTTAAAATAACTCTTGGACAGGGCACCTGGGTGGCTCAGTTGGTTGAGCATCTGACTTCAGCTCAGGTCACGATCCTACAGTTTGTGAGTTCGAGCCCTGCATGAGGCTGCTATCAGCACAGAACCTGCTTCAGATCCTCTGTCCCCCTCACTCTCTGCCCCTCCCCCACTTGTACTCTCTCAAAAATAAAAGTTCTGTGCTGACAGCTCAGAGCCTGGAGTCTGCTTCAGATCTTTAGACCCCCTCTCTCCCTGCCCCTTCCCCTACTTGTTGTCTGTCTCTCTCTTTCTCTCTCTTTCTCTCTCTCAAAAATAAATAAACATCTAAAATAAATAAAATAACTCTTGGACAAAGTAAAAGTTATTATGAGCAGAGCCTCAGTAAATTCCTCTCACATACCCACAGCCATTCTCTATGTTTGTTGCTGTTTTCTACTTCTTTAAAACAAAAAAAGAACACTCTAGTTCTAGCCCTTAGACTTCAGCGAGGGAAAGAAAGGTAGAGAGGACTCACGCTGCTGGGCTTCCTTGTCACCCTGGGCTCAGCATCATCCATGAGGACAAGCAGAGAGAAAGTGGAGACAGAAGTACTAAGGAAAATGGGTTTAAGAACATGCATTCTCTTCAAAAATCATACTAATAGCTTTTAATCCCCCACCCAATTTTAGCTCTGGTTGGACTATATGCACTTGAACTCAATGGGAGTCTAAGACAAAAGGAGGAAGTCCAGGCAACAGCTGCTCCCAGACAAGGAAGAAGGGACAGCAGCATAAGTGCCAGGAGCCAGGTCCCCCAACTGGAGCATCCTCTCCAAGCCTGAGCACAGCCCAAGCCAGGTCATGTGCCCCCAAGAAGCTCAGAAAAAGAGGGAGGGAACAGAGTCAGGAGTTCAGGGGCACGTGGGTGGCTCAATCGGTTAAGTGTCCAACTGCGGCTCAGGTCATAATATCGCAGTTCGCGAGTTTGAGCCCCACGTTGGGCTCTGCCTGCTTTGGATTCTGTGTGTCCCTCTCTGTGCCCATCATCTGCTCATGCTCTGTCTCCGTCTCTCAAAAACAAAATAAAAAATAAACTTTTTTTTTTAATTAAAAAAGAGAATTAGCTTGCTCCCAATCTTAGTGTTCTGAAGTATAAATAATAGGTTACAACCTTTTAAAAAAAAAAAAAAAAAGTTCAGCTTTCAGGCTTCAAGTGCCACCTGCTGGCAAGAAGGCTCAGCGCAAGGAGTCTGGTCTGGAGCGGGTAAGGGGAGGCAGCTTGAGTCCACCAGCCTAGCCCCAGCCCTGCTCCTGAGACAAGGCCTCCCAGGAACCTGGGTGGCACTGAGTGAGTCAGAATGAACAGCCAAGGATAGACCGTAACCATGAAAAGAGACATTATGGATATGATTCTAATTGAGAAGAGGAAAGGAGCAATGCTTGTGGATTGTTCTCTGTGGTTCAGAATGGGAATTTTTACCAGCAAATGAGAGTGTATGAGTTGCTCTATTCAGTCCACAACTCTTTGCTGCTCACCTGCTATATGCCAGGCATGGGGCAAGGTCTTCAGGGAGTTTGTCTTCTAGAGAAAGGAAACAAGGTTAAGTACATGCTGGTAGGAGAGCACTTAGAAAAGCAGAAGGGCAACCAAATGCAGATTTGGGAGCTCAAGGCAGGCTTGCAGAGGAAAGGATTTATTTTTAGGTCAAAAAAAACCCACTAAGGTCTGCGTGTTGAGTAGGAGGTAACAACAGGGGAGGGGGCCCAGGCAGAGGCTGCAGTGCATGCAAAGGTCCCAAGGCCAAAAAATAGCATGTTTCTGGGCACTGAATTTCTGGGGAGTGTCCAGAACAAACTGGGAAGTGATTTTGTAACCCAAGAGTTAGTTAATATGACAATCTTCACCCAAAAAAAAAAAAAAAAGATAACAAACGCATTTGAGTATTTTAAACCACACTTAAAATCATACGAGAAATTTTTAAATGTTTAGAACTGAGTATGATAGAGGCGCCTGGGTGGCTCAGTTGGTTAAGCATCTATCTGACTTTGGCTCAGGTCATGACCTCACTGCTCCTGATCTGGAGCCCCGCATCAGGCTCTGTGCTGACAGCTCAGACCCTGGAGCCTGCTTTGGATTCTGTGTCTCCCTCTCTGTGTCCATTGTCTGCTCACATTCTCTCTCTCTCTCAAAAATACATAAATATTTTAAAAATTTTAAGAACTGAATATGATTATCAAAATACTAAATATGAAGACTGTGGGACACAGCTAAAAAACTTAAAACTCCTTAACAACTTCCATACTTATTTACAGATTATAGGATGACACTATGTTAAGCGTCTGCTTCAAGAAGTTGGAGGAAAAAAAAGATCAAGATCATAACCCAAAATAATAAATAAAAGGAGCAAAAATAAATAATATTAGAAAATTTAATATGCATATAACCAGCTACTACAGAAGTTTAGAAATAGTAATACTGGGAACTTTATGCCAATAAATTTGAAATGGATAGTTTCCTAGAAAATATAACTTACCAGACATAAGAAAAAATTAAAAATCTGATTAGACTATAATAAAGAGAATCATTAATTTTAAGTCTACTTATAATTTAAAAAAATACCAAACCCAGATGACTTTATATGAGAGAGGGGAAAAAAGAGAACCAGGTCCTGTAGGACCTTGAAAGACCCAATAAGGAGTTTGGACTTTATTTTAATTATAATTGGGAGCCACTGAAGGATTTTAAGCCGGAAGATGATGTAACAAGTTTTGCATTTTGGAATGATGACTCTGCCTGCAATGCCACAGATGGATTGGAGCGGGATCCAGGTTGGAGACAGCTATAATAATCCAGTTAGCAGATGCTGGACGCCTAGATTAGGGTGAATGACTGCAGAGTTGGAACTGCTAACAGAATTGGGAGATGTGAGGTCAGGCCTGAGGGCTAAGGGTGGGGGCATGTAATTTGGAGGATGGTGAGGGAGAGGGAATAATTAAGGATGACACCAGATTTCTGTTTAGGTAATGGGGTGTATGGTACTGCTCTTCCGTGGGGCTGGGAAACAGAGAACCAGGTGTGGCTGGAGGAAGATGAGGCTTTTTTGACATGCCGAGGTGCCTGAGAGGCATCCCGGCAGAAATATCTAATGGGTTGTCAGATATAAGAATCTGGACCCAGGTAAGGGGTCTAGGGTAGAGATATGGTTTAGGAATCTCCCAACTTCAAGGCCAGCTAACCACAAACACAGCAAGTCTGAATCGGTTTCCCCACTATAAAACACTAACCCCAGCTCCATCTCTTCCCCAAGGGAAACTGGGAGTAGAGACCATCAAAGTGAAAGGACTTTGAATCAAAGAACCCATACTTGGTGGGTTATCTATGAGGGGACAAGTTTGGTAGAAAGGGTTTCAATTGCCCTGTGCCCTCCTTCCACTCTCCAGACTCACTAGATGTCAAGAGCTCCATTTTCTGTAGGGAGAAGAAGAGACAGAGCAAAGGACTACAGTGGAGATCCAAAGATCAAATAATGTGTTGAAACTCAAATTGAATATTCAATCACCTATCAGTCATTCACACGCAGGGGAATGTTCACCGTCGTTGCTGTAAGGTTGAAGTTTTCTTCTTTCTTTTTCCACCATTCACATGGTTCCAAAAGCAAGCCTAACATAAAAAAGCATACATTTTTTAAAGTTTATTCATGGGGGGGAGGGGCAGAGAAAGGAGAGAGAATCCCAGACTCCCTGCTGGCAGCGTGAAGCCCAAAGTGGGGCCCAAACCCAGGAACCAAGAGACCATGACTTGAGCTGAAATCGAGTCAGATGCTCAACTGACTGAGTCACCCAAGCGCCCCCAGTCAAAAAGGCACATGTTTTAACGCCTCCCAGCCATCCCCACAGCTGCATAGTACTCCATTGTATACCATGGTTTAATCGATAAGAGTAGTTTCTCAGGGAGAGATTTTAGAACCTGGCTTTCTGAAAAGATGGGCTGGGAGGTCACATCTGGAGACAGCAAGGGACACTGGGGAATCAGGAAGCAAAAGAGCAAAGGACAGGGAGTACGGGATACTCCACTGATTCAGCAATTCTTCCTGAAGCCCTAGGAAGGAATTTATCCCCATGGCTAGTTCAGGGGAACTCTCAATAAAGTGTTTAAAGAGAGCAAAACCAGGGCACCTGGTGGCTCAGTCAGTTAAGCGTCCGACTTCGGCTCAAGGCATGATCTCACAGTCCATGGGTTTGAGCCCCACGTCAGGCTCTGTGCTGACAGCTAGCTCAGAGCCTGGAGCCTGCTTCAGATTCTGTGTCTCCCTCTCTCTCTGCCCCTCCCCTGCTCACGCTCTGTCTGTCTGTCTGTCTCTCTCTCTCAGAAATAAATAAAACATTTTAAAAAATGAATAAAACAGACAAAAACCTATCTCTGGGATTCATTTACTCTATTCATTTAACAAAGATATATGGAGCCCATGTTAGGTACCAGGCCCTGTGCTCAGGCCATGGGGAATGTTGAGGGCAAGATCTCCATCTTGGTTGAGCCGGAGTCAGGTGTGCGAGCTGTGTGAGGCAGTGAAGGCGAGGGTCCAAGGGGGCGCCAGGCTCACAGAGGAGACCCTTTCCCGGCCTCAGGTCCTGTCTCAGACACCATCTCCGATCTTACATACACAACTAGCAACTCCGTCTTCTGAGCCTCCTCTGGAGCTCACACACAACCCCACTGTTGTACTTGCCGCACTGTCCGCTAATTCTGTAATATCGAGCTCCCTTACCAGACTGTGGGCGCCCTGAGGGCGGGTGCTCCCCTTTAGTCATGGTGCGTTCTGAACCCCTAGAACTCTGCACAGTGCCTGACTTTCAGTATAGACATCCGCCTGTTAAATCAATTCTATCTCTTCACAGAGATGGAACTTAAGCTGAGCCCTGAGGAACAAGTTAGCATGGACAGATGAAAAAGATAATTAAGGAGGACAGATAGATAGGGCTGGGGTGAAATGTATGAAGGCGGAGATGGGGAGGGGGTGACAGGAGATGGAAGCATGTTAAGGTCACACTGAATTCTCGGCATCCCCAGAGGAGAGAAATACAGAGGCCGGTGGTCATCGAATACAAGGATGGTTTTGGCTGTCGAAGTAAGAGGAGATGCTAAGATTCATTTGGAGATTCTTTTCTCCAGTGACTTCCCTTGGTTATCTGTGGAAGTGATTAAGGATTTTTTTCCCCCTTTACTCTTTGAGCCTCATCCTCCCACAGATACCAGGATCCCAGCTAGACAGGATAGACATTCCCAATTTTTCCCTCAGATCAAAACCATGACATCTTGATGTAAAGAACTGTCAAGGAGAAACTGTAATTTCAAGCTGGCACACCAGTTCCGGTTTTAAACAAAATCGATAGACCAAGGACCATAAAGTTTAACTTGAACTGACCAGCAGTGTGACTTCCTTCCTGGCCTTTGGACCAGAGAAGGATGCATAGATGAACTGCCTCAAGACCAAAAACAATACGCCCAGTTTGAGAACTCTAAGAAGGGCAGGGAGTGATAATATGGAGGTGGGTTAGACTAGCATTCGGGCACAGTTTATAATCCCTTCTGAAACAACAAAGCCTTTTTGTTTTTAAGTCTATTTATTGTGAGTGGGGGGAGGGGCAGAGAGAGTGGGAGAGAGAGAGAATCCCAAGCAGGCTCAGGGCTTTCAGCACAGAGCCTGACACCAGGCTCGATCCCACAAACCCTGAGATTGTGACCTGAGCTGAAATCAAGAGTCAGGTGCTTAACCGCCTGATACACCCAGGTGTCCCAAAGCCTTACCGAATTGAAATAATTCAGAGACACAGCTCAGCTGCAGAGAGGAGGGAAGGAGAAACATGAGGAAAATAAGGCCTAAGGAAGTCCTACTATACACACACACACACACACACGCGCGCGCACGTGCGCGTGAACTCAGCCTGTCTTTCCAGAGGCTTACCACTCCAGACCCTGCCAACCAAGCCAAATTACTGGTTACAGACTCAAAATTTAAATGAGATTTCAGCATTTATACATTTTGCACTAAAGGAGAAGAGGGTTCATCAGTCAGCAGCTGGCCAATCACAGCCCAATTCCTTAACGTAATGAAATTACAGGCCTTCTTTTACCCGAGTGCCCTCTTCTCAAAGTGAAGTACCGGGGGTGAGCCAGAAAAGAGGGGCCTCGTGATGCTCAGGAAATGTAAGAGGAGACTTCATGATACTTAGAAGAGGGGGAACTGGACATCGCAGTCCTAGGTCACCAAATCCCACAAAGGCTATTTGAATAGTATCCTAGGACTTATCCGTTAACATGTGTTAAGGACCCGTCAATCTGTGGAGACCTTTTCTCTCTAAGTGTAGGGCCCTCTTCTTACTGAGGCGCTCATTTCTTCACCACCAGCATAATTTTCTAACAGACCAGCTGGCAGCTTGCATTAGGAAGGGGACCGCGGGGAGGGGAAGGAAAGCCAGATGTGAAGAAATTTCCAAGGAGTGAGTGTGTAGCCAAGGATGCCTTGCTTCTTATTACACTGAGAAAATAACAACCTACTTGAAAAGAACTTCCTTATGTTCCCACTTCCAAATCCACCAGTTGCCTGCGGTGTACCTGGCCATGCTGTCTTCTCTCCTGAACATCAATGAGTCGTCCGTACAGCTATTTAAGGCCATCCCCTCGCTCATGCCCCAGATCCCACCCCCTCTGTCTACTCCTCTGTCCTCTCTTGCATCACCAACAGTTCTTGCCCAATTAAATGATTCCTATCACAGAATTTTAAAAAAACAAAAAGAGAACTTCTCCACATTCCTCTCCACTACCAATCCATTTCTTCCTCACTTTTACTCTCTTGAATTCATTCCTATCAGGCCTCTACTGTCCACTGAGATCAATCTTATCAAGGTCACCACTCACCTCCACACTGTCACACCCATGGGTCATTTCCTAGTCGGCATATTGCTTGGCCTCTCCACAGGGTTTGCCGAAGTTAGACCCTTCCGCCCCCTGTGAAACATTTGCTTTACTTGGCTTTTGCGAGAACTTTTTCTTACTCACAAGCTGCTGCTTCATTCTCCTTTCCTGGCTTCTCCTCCTCTCTCAGACCTGTATGGATGGGGTGCCACAGGACTCAGTAATCAGACTTCCATTCTTCCCTATTTACACTCACTTCCTTGGTGCATTTAGTGCCAGAGCTGTAAATACTATTTATATCCCTTTGTCCATCTAGTCCCATAGCTTTTTCTTTTTAATGTTTTATTTACTTCTGAGAGAGAGAGAGAGAGCATGAGCAGGGGAGGGTCAGAGAGAGAGGGAGATACAGAATCTGAAACAGACTCCAGGCTCTGAGCTAGCTCTCAGCACAGAGCCCAGACAGTGAGATCATGACCTGCGCCGAAGTCGGACGCTTAACCGACTGAGCCACCCAGGCGCCCCTAGTCCCATAGCTTTAAATACCATTTCTTTAAGGGGCGCCTGGGTGGCTTAGTCGGTTAAGCGTCCGACTTTCGCTCAGGTCATGATCTCGCGGTTCGTGGGTTCGGGCCCCGCGTCAGGCTCTGTGCTGACTGCCAGCTCAGAGCCTGGAGCCTGTTTCAGTCTGTGACTCCCTCTCTCTCTGACCCTTCCGTGCTCACGCTGTCTCTCTCTCTCCTAGAAATAAATAAAAATATTAATAAATAAATAAATACCATTTCTTTAAATACCATATGGTAATTTCCAAAATTGTGTTTCCATCCCCATTGTCTCCCCTCAACCCTACATATATACAGCTCCCTACTCTACATCTCCAATTAGTTCTATAAGGCATCATGAACTTAACACACCCTCAATCACACATCTAACATCCCCTCTACCAAAATGCTTCTCTCCGTCTTCCCCCAGTTTCTCCAGTTTCAGAAAAGGCAAGCTTTGTTCCTCCACTGACCCTGGCCAAAACCCTGAAATCATCCTCAACTCCTCTTCCTCAATTCCACATCCCACGTCCAATCCACCAGCAAAATCGTTTTGATTTGTGTCTTCAAAATATATCTAGAATCGGATTACATCTTACCACCTCCGTCATTACCCTTGTCCGAGTTACCATTAATTCCCACCTGGATTACAGTAGCAGCCACTTTCTAAATTCTGCTTCAAAGTCCGGGTAATAGAAGACCTGAGAGATGACCAATGGACTTGGCAATGTGGGTGACCTTGACAGAACTGCTTGCACGTGAAAGCCTGAGAGAACCTGCACTCTATAGTGTAATCCTACATGCTCCTTGTTGATTCTGTAATAACTCGCCAAGAAAATTCCCATTTCAGAGCCTCTGCATGCTTTTCCTTCTGCCTGGACCATCCTTCCCTCCAGATAGTCAGATCTGGAATACCTGTTCTTTCTCTTGAATTGAGGTTTCTGTTAAAATGCCAGCTTCTGAGAGATTTCTCTTATCAGCCTATCTAAAATAGCATCTCTACTCTCTATTCCCTTTTCTTTTTTCTTCTTCATAGCATTTGTCACTATCTGAATATTTCTGTCTCTGTCTCTCCCGCACACACACTAGAATTAAGTTCTATGAGGGCAGGGGTTTGTTTTGTTCGCCACTGGACACCCTTCCTGGCAAATGCCTGCTGAACAAATAAATAAATGACCTTCGTCTCAAACTCACAGAATTACTGCCAAGAACATGGAAGCATACTCGACTTCAGCCCTCTGAGAATGACCCTCTGGGATCCAAGAATGTGGGCAGGCAGCCTCAGGAACTCTCCTAGCCGTCCCCTTCTTAGAAGACATACGGTAACACTTCCGCCCTCGCTCAAACCTCGCTCAACTCTCGGAAAAGGAGGGGCGGAGGGTTTATGTCATCAGCCTGCGCCCGCCTGCCCCGCGACGTGCCGGCGGCTGGCGCAGCCCTCCGCTCGCCCGGCCTCCCCCTCCCTGGTTCCGCGCTCTGGTTCCGCCATGGAATCCAACAAGGATGAAGCCGAGCGCTGTATTAGCATCGCCCTCAAGGCCATCCAGAGCAACCAGCCCGACCGGGCACTCCGCTTCCTGGAGAAGGCGCAGCGGCTGTACCCGACGCCGCGAGTTCGCGGTGAGTGTGAGGTGCCGGAGGGACAGAGGGGACATTAGAACTGATGGGGGGAATACGGGAACGGACCGAGGGGAGCAGTTGGAGGAGGGGGAGGGGTGGCGAGGCGCGGCTACGCCTGCGCACTGAGACGCGCGGGGGCCGCTGGGAGGTGTAGTCTTTCGCTCGCACGCCTCTCCGAGACGCTGAACACCTGACGGCTGGGGCGGCCGCGACTTCAATTTTCCGGGTGCTTGTGGAATCCTCTGAGATTTGGGAGTTCTCGAGGACGAGAGGAGCGGGCGGGGCGTGGAAAGGAACTTACCTGGAGGCGAAATCGAACTACTTTTCCCAAAGGGCCATTCGGTGGCCAAGGGCCGGTTGCCGGCCTGGGAAATACTATAGTTTAGGAAAATAAACATAACTCCTTTGACGGACAGAATGGGTTCGAGAGAGGGAAAGAAGACTTCTGACATTCGGAAGGCCTGGAAAGGCGTCTCCGGGCGAGGGCCTGGGAACACCCTCCCGAAACTACAGCCTGCCTTTTCCCCCGCTCCACACCGCCGCCTTGCACGGTTACCCTGAGAGCGGGCCCCCTGACTCCCTCCTGGAAGCTTCTTCATCCACCTGTGAGATTCGGGGCTTGTTGGAGACGCTGGCCTCGGCCACCCCGCCCACCCTCGTCCCCAAGAGCCCATCAGTGGCCGCCGATTGGACGGCGGGGCAGCTAAGTGTCTCCCGGCTGAGGCTTCCAACCCAGGGAGGGAGGGATTAGTGAGGTTGTCCCAACCACTCAGTCTTTCACTCTACCCAGGAACTCTCTTTTTCTTAACCTAAGACTTCAGGTGAGTTTTTCTTAATACAAACTGGAGGAGAGAACGAGGTAATCCGTTAAAAATATGGGCTCGGTGCCGGCAGTTACCACGCAGTAAACCGTCTGGCACATAACAGGTACTCAGAATCAGAAGATCTGAGTTCTTATTCTGACTGCTACCATGTGATCTTTCTGAGCTTGGGTTTCCTTATCTGGAAAATCAGAAGGTTGGTGCAGACAATGTAACAATATAACCCTAGGGCTTCTCTGTTTAGAAAGCTCTTCTGAGGGGCGCCTGGCTGACCTAGACGGTAGAGCATGCAACTCTTGATCTTGGGGTTGTAAGTTCAAGCCCCACGTTGGGTGTGGAGATTACTTAAAAAAAATAAAATCTTTACCAGCGCCTAGGTGGCTTAAGCCGGTTAAGCCTCCGACTTCAGCTCAGGTCATGATCTCACAGTTCGCAGATTCAAGCCCCATGTCCGGCTCTGTGCTGACAGCTCGGAGCCTGGAGCCTGCTTCAGGTTCCGTGACTCCCTGTCTCTCTCCCCCTCTCCTGCTTGCGCTCTGTCTCTGTCTCTCTCAAAAATAAACAGTAAAAAAAATTTTTTTAATTAAAAATAAAATCTTTGAAAACAAGAAGAAAAAGAAAGCTCTTTCCAGTACATTTTCAAACTTGAGCCTGCCCTATCAGGGAGGCAGAGCAAAGATCATTATCTTTGTTCTATAGGTAAGGAAATATCTCAGAGGCAAGGGACTTGCCCAAGATTACACAGCTAGAAATTGGAAAGTTCTGTGACTCTATAAATGTTTAATAGAGGAGTGAAATGAAAGAGCAACAGTCAGTCTCCTAGCCTTCCCCGCCGCATTTGGAATTGACAAAGGGGAACACTGGCAGAAGAGGCCACCTGGAATGCTCGAATTTTCCTCCCTCCTGACTACAGGTTGATCTTTGGCCTGTTTGCCTTCTCTTGGAGAGGGTTTCAGTCTCTATTTGCCAGGACTCCTGAGGTAAGCTGCTCAAGAAGCTTCCTTATGAAATAAATCACAGTGTGTAAGAGAGGCGCATGGGGGATGGGGGGCCCGCAGGCTCTCAGAATCCTGTCCAACCCTGATGTTTCTGGGGGCTCAGAAGCAGGCAGCCAAGAAAGGATGGAACAGTATGGCCTGTGGAGATCTTCTGTCAGCAGCCTCCTGGGGATGTCCTTCCTGGGGTTCAAGAATTGGAATTTGCTCAGGCAGAATTGTCACCTGCTACACAGTTGTCATAGTCATACTGTTCTGGAAAGACTATGCCTCATACCTCTCTATAAATGTCACCTTGTACCGTGTGCAGCCCTGTACTGTGCTGACAAGGACCTGGGGTTTACTTGGGCCTGGGATGGAGAAATCTTGGTTAAAAAACATACTAGGTAGTTGTCTACACTTGCTGTTTGAGGTTTGAGCTCATTCCAGGTGCTTGTTCAATGCAACACACTTTCTTTTTTAAGTTTACTCGTGTATTTTTGAGAGTGTGTGCGAGTGAGGGAGGGCAGAGGAAGGGAGAAAAAATCCCAAGCAGGCTCTGCACGCTGTCAGCACCCCAAGTTTCCAATTCTTGATTTCAGCTCAGACCATGATCTCACAGTTCATGGGTTCAAGCCCCGCATCGGGCCCAGTGCTGTCAGTGCAGAGCCTACTTTGGATCCTCTCTCCCTTGCTCTCTGCCCCTCCCTCCATTGCTCTCGCTGCCTCTCTCTCTCCCAAAAATAATCATTAAAAAAAAAAGTTGAGGCACTTAACCATCTAAGCCATCCAGATGCCCCGCAACAGACGTTTTTTTGTTTTACTTGTAAAGCCCTCTGCTTGGTGCAAAGTGGTATGGCAGGATTGGAGGCCATCCTTCACCTCGAGCTTACAATGGAGTGAAGGAGACAAAGTTATGGAAAAATAATAGCATGGTTAAAGAAAAATCAAGCACGGCGATAGATGTCGAGGACTTAAGGGTGGACAGGAAAGATCCAGTCCCCGCCCTCCATGAGTTCACAGTCTGGTGACATGGAGGGAAGTGTTGGGGATGGCGCCCTGAACGAGAAGTTACAAGCAGTAGAGTGAATGAGTGAGTCCTCACTAGGACTTACAAATAACAGCAGATCGCAGTGAGGGAAGGTTCCGAGGAGCAGGACAGAGGCAGCATTTGAACTGCACTTCGGAGGAAGGGAGGAGACTTAGAGAAGAACCTCCTGGGGAAAAGACATGGACGCTGGAAGCTGGGGGAGGACTGGGTGTAGCAAGACTAAGAGGCTGTGGGGGTGGTAATTTGAATAGAGAGAATTAACGCTGGCAAGTAAGATGGGGCCAGATTGTGGAAATGCTTTCCTGCCAGACCAGGGTATTCTGTAGTTGGTGGAAAGACCATTGAAGATTCTGATAGCAGGAATAAGATAAAGGTGCTGCTCTGAAAAAAGAATAGCAAGAAGGGTTAGTGAAAGAGAGAGACTCAAGACCGAGACCAATTGGGAGACCATTCATTGCACACAGTAGGTCAGGAGCTCTGAGCGCTGGCATCCCCGAAGAGGCTAAGGTCATGGAGAGGAGGTACCGAGCCTGTGTGAGAGTTGTGCTGAGAGGAACAGAATCTGCGGACACAGACTCCAAGCCTGTGCAGCCAGGGAGAAAGCGAGGTTGAGGATGGTGAGTGGGAATTGCTGGGCAGAGGGCAGGGTGCGGGTAGATGTTCCAGAGCTGCTGCCCACTTGGAGCTCAGGAGAGAGCCCCAGGATCCAGCTCAGAGCCCGGCATTGTCATTTTGATGGAGCTCATTGGAGTCCTGCCTGGCTGGGGTCACAGTGCGAAAGTGTGGAACTCGTAGAGGTGGCTGCTGTAAGCACAGCCAGGGGCCACACCTGCCCTTAGCCAGTGGGCAGAGACCAGGCAAGCGACAGAGTAAGATGGGGACTAAGGGAGGAGGCCATCCCAGGAGAGGGCAGCAGCCAGGTGGCCCTGGAGTGGTGTGGCAGGGAAGGGAGGTGGTGAGCAGCACCGTCAGGCCTTGTGGAGAAAGGGCAAGTTGAGAAATGAGAAGGGAACGATCAAGAGCGTGGGCAGAAGGTTGGTCTCAGAGAAGTGGAAGTACGGACAGAGGGAAAGGAGATCTAGAGCAGCCTTGAAGGGCTGAGGGGACTCACAGTGAAAAGGCCATGAGGGGATTTCAAACTCGTGCTGCAGGAGGGGAACCCCAAGGGCTGGACACATGTACTGTGGAATAGTAGCTGAGCCCTAAGCCGAGAGTCATAGGGCAGGGCTAGTAAGGCCCAGCCAGTCCCTAGAAAGGACTGGCAGCCCTCTGGGCACTGCCTTTGCCTGAGGCTTAGCAACTCTGGTGGAAGGTCCCAGGTTTTTCAGGGAGGCAGTGAGAACGTCCTCGGTTTCCCCAGCACACGAAGAGAGGGTTGGCCGGATGGTCTCGCAGCCCAGGCTGCCTGAGGGTCTAGGAAATGACTGGCTCTGGGTCCAGGCGAGATCAGGAAGGCCAGGCCCCTAAGGCCAGCATGTGGGGTGGGGAAGGACTGGTCGCTCTGAAGGTGTTAGAGTGACAGATGGTCTGGTACTCGCGGGGTCCAGGGTGGGGTCGTCCGTTCGGGTCAGCCGGCCTTCGTGAGCCCTGCTGCGCACTCAACCCTTCCATTCACCAAATTTCACCGACTCTTATTTATGCCTCAAAGCAGCTCTGGGAGGGCAGGCATCATGCCTTCACTGACGATTCGATCACATGGCTAAGGAGCAAAAGAACCGGACTGTCCAGCTCCTCTCCCAGGCTGTTGCCCTGTGCTGGCCTCCCTTTCCCGACCCACTCTGAGCACTTCAGGAACAGAGAGGGGGCCTGGAAATAAAATGAACAGTAACAGATAACAGCTCTGGTTTCTTCCTCCAAGTTCCTGTTTAGATATCTGCTAGCTTTACTGCGAGGGCCAGAGTCAACCCCGCCTTGTCTGTGTAACTCCAGAGCTACGCCTAGCTGTTCTGTGTCCTACTCTTTTGTGACATTTGCCCATCAGCCCCTGGGTCACGGGGGATGTAACAGTGAGTCAGGATGAGGCAGTCACATCCCACAGGTCTGGCATATGGGGTGTTCAGGCCATGGGAGAGACCTACTTGCCAGCACCCAACAGTGTTGAATTGTCAGCTCAACCAGGAACCTTCTGTGTGACCCAGAGCACATCCGTTCCCCTTTGGGCTCTCTTTCTGCCGTGTAAAGAAATTAGAGTGGCTGACTCCATGTAACTGCCCTGGAAAGTTTTCAGAATCTTCCCTGAGATATACTAGATGAGTCTATCTCCTGGTTAATGCTTTTGTGTATCTATAGCAATTGAATGGTCGGTGATGTTCTCCATGGGTGTATCAACACAGCCTGGACCCCTGAGGCTTCCAGAGAAATCGATATAGACAAGCTGGCTTTGTTTTTTTTTTTTTTAAGTTTACTTATTTTTGAGAGAGAGAAAGGCAGAAAGAGAAGGAGATAGAGACTCCCAAGCAGGCTCCGCATTGTCAGCACAGAGCCTGATGTGGGACTTGAACTTGCGAACCATGAGATCATGACCTGAGGCCGAGATCGAGTCAGTTGCTTAACCGACTGAACCACCCAGGCGCCCCTGAAATAACTTCTTTAAAAGACCTCTGAGGGGCGCCTGGGTGGCTTAGTCGGTTAAGCGTCCGACTTTCGCTTAGGTCCTGATCTCGCGGTTCGTGGGTTTGAGCCCCGCGTCGGGCTCTGTGCTGACTGCCAGCTCAGAGCCTGGAGCCTATTTCAGAGTCTATGTCTCCCTCTCTCTCTGACCCTCCCCAGCTCACACTGTCTCTCTCTCTTTCTCTCTCCTAGAAATAAATAAAAATATTAAAAAAAAAAAAAAGACCTCTGAGTCCAGCATACTACCTCCCCCGCCCCTGCCCCATGTTCATCAGCATCTCTTCATCTTTTGCTTTTTCTTCCTTTGCCATTTGCTCGGTATGGACCTGGCATCTGGGTCAGCCTGAAATCTCATGGTTGCATTGGGTTCAAAGCCTGCTGAGTGCTGCGACCTTGCTTTCCTAAGCCCTGGAGCTCCCTGGCCCCACCAGCTGGGGTTCCCTCCCTGGCCAGCCATCAGCCTGTGTCATAAATCAGCAGCTACTCAGTTTTAATTTTTACTGTCCGTTTCTGCGCCAGGTGCTGACAAATGTTATTTCATCCTTATATACCCATTCCCCTCATATCCCGTAGGACACGGGTTCAGACAGATTTTATAGATTAGCCAGGGCCACACTGCTAGGAATGACTGAGCTGAGATTGGGACACAGTTCTTTCTGAATTTTACTTCTCTTTATTTGGAAGGACTGTGCTGGAGGGGCTCCCCATGCCACAGTCATGCGGTCCAGGATAGCATAGTTAAGACCACGGTTCTGGGAGCCGGACATCCCGGCTTGTGCAGCCACGGGCCAGTGCATCAAACATGCAGCTCCTTCTTTATAATGGGGAAGGTGGTAATAAGACCTACTTCTAAAGCCATTGTCACAGTTAAATGAACTAGTAGAGGCAGAATCTGGGCCTGCCTAACACATAGCAAGCACTCACTACGATGACTCTTCTCAGTGCACACCCTTGGGGTTTGCTACCGGAGTCCTTCAGCTCCCTCCTGCGAGGCAAGCTTGACTGTCAGCTCCCCACCCAGTGGGATCTGTGAGTTGGCTGCACTAAGACAGCAGTGGCTCAGGGCACAGTGGTCCGCTTGAGTCCCAGTGCTCTGCTCCCAGCAGGCCCTGCTCCAGGCGCCTCGTGTGAGACCCAGGGGCATTGTGGTGGAGGGTGTCCGACACCCAGCACGGTGCCCTGAGCCCAGCAGGCTCCTGGCGTGTTTGAAAGAAGCTGGGGGCCAGCCAAGGGCACTGCTGTCCTTCCTCAGCACAGCGTCCTGGGTCCCTGCAGCGGTCCAGGTGCCTCGCTTCCCAGGGCACTGCACCCCAGGCATGACTGGGGTTTCCAGAACGGATTTTGTGCCTGGAATCAATGGGCACAGGGAACTTTGGCCAGAGATTTGGGCTCTTCAACAGGAACCACAGACGGGCTGGAGTCCCTTAGACCCTATCTGAGGGTGACAGCTAATGCCCTGTGTAGACTCTGAACACTGAAGTAAGACGTTTGACATGGCCAGCCGCTTGGAAAGTGTAAGGAATAGCAAGTAGCAGAGGAGAGATCTATGTCCTGGGTCTCCTGCCGTCCCTGGCCCTGGGGGACGCTCATTGTCCCCATCCCCCCTCACAGCAAAGTGAAGGTGCCCAGGGGGCCTTGCCCAGCAATCGCAGCAGAAACAGCTGGTCCTGCTAAGTGCGGTCCCCAGTGAGACAGGCAGAGGACTTGCCCCTCAATGCACTCAGCAAAGTCCGTGAAACACACCGCTTTGGGATTCTTTTTTTTAAACCTGAAGGGCTAATAGTTTGTTTTTATGTGGAGTTTTAAAATAACCCAGCCCCAGGGGTGCCTGGCTAGCTCAGTCAGTAGAGCATGCGACTCTTGCAGGGTTGTAAGTTTGAGCTCCATGTTGGGTGCAGAGATTAATTAAAAACAAAATCTTTAAAAAAAGATTTAAAATAACCCACACCCTGACAACTCACAAGAGCAAGCGACTATCCCACTAGCCCCCCGCACCCCACCCAGGCCCAAGTTTGGGAGGGAGCTACTGGCTTTGCTGGGCGACGCAGCAGGTGGGATGTGGGGACCAGGCAGCCCCTCGGCCATGGCCTGTGGCTTCGCTGGAACAGGAGCCCTGAATGGTTTGTTTGCCTTGCACAGCCCTGATCGAGTCCCTCAACCAGAAACCACAGTCTACTGGTGACCATCCCCAACCCACAGACACGACCCACAGGAAAGCAGGTGGGACTGATGCCCCCTCGGCCAACGGAGAAGCTGGAGGAGGAGAGGGCACCAAAGGCTACACTGCAGAGCAAGTAGCAGCAGTGAAAAGGTAGAGGGGCTGGCGCCTGGTGCCGTGGGCAAGCTTTCAGATCTCGAGGGGGCTTCCTGCAGCGTGTCCTCCACCTTACATCTGCCCGTGGTCTGGATGGGCCCTGGCGGGGGGTGCGGGGGGGTTCCTGAGGATGGAGGAGGTCCAGCTGGGCAGGCTCACCGGCCCTGGAATACAGCATGGGACTCGGGGCTCTGCTGTCCCCTCCTGCCAAGTCAACCCACAGCAGAGGCTAGAAATGCTGACTCTGCCACTGGCCAGGTGAGCCCGGCCTCTTTACACAGCTCTGTTGATCGGAGTTGGGGCCTGGGCTCCCCTTCCAGCTTCTCCCCCACCCCAACAAAGACCCTTTCAGACTATGGCCTGTGTGGCATAGAATGGAGACGGGAGACGGTTATCCCTCCAGGGCCTGGGTGAGCCCCTGCCCAGACACTGACTGTCCTTCCTAGGTGGCCCCTGGTGAAGGCACTATTAGCAAAGGGAAATGGTTCCTGGCCTGAAAGGCTGCAGCTGCCCCCTCTTAAGTCTTAAATGTATTCCGGTTGTTTCCACTGGGCCCTACCTAGCTCCCCATTCCAGGTGGTGCTTACTGAGGCCCCCTTGTCCCCGAGGACCCCATGCCCTGCTGGTCCCTGAGCCTTCTCAGAGCCGTGCGCCCATACTGCTCTCACCCACGTCACCTCACGGCCCCGGGCCCGCTCTACCCCCTCCCCCAGGGTCAAGCAGTGTAAGGATTACTATGAGATCCTGGGGGTGAGCAGAGGGGCCTCCGATGAGGACCTGAAGAAGGCCTACCGCAAGCTGGCCCTCAAGTTCCACCCAGACAAGAACCACGCACCCGGGGCCACTGAAGCTTTCAAAGGTAAGCTAGCCGTGGTTTCCCAGTGCTCGGCGGTTTTCATCTCCTGTCCCTGGAAGGAGTCAGTGGCCTTGGACCCGCGTGCCCTGGGCTCAGGAGCTGCTCCCTGGAAAGAAAGTCCTGGGAGCCACCTCTCGCATAGAGTCTGTCGGAGCTCAGATAGCACCACCCCTGCCTCCCTTCCTCCTTGTTCCCCACAGCTTACAGGAGGGGAGCTGAGGCAGGAGAGGACCAGTGGCTTCTCCAAGGTCACGTAGCAATTAAGGGGCGGACGCAGGCCCCCTGCCTCACCTGTATGCATGTCCCCATCTTGGGATCTCGGTACCAGTTTCCCTGTGTTGAGGGGCAAGAAAGCCTCAGGTCAGTGGGCTTGTGACCTAGTGGCCTCACCGTCACCAGCAGCCTCTGCCAACCCTGCAGGACACACGCACGCACCATGCACACACGACATACACACTCGGCAGTTTCCGACGACCCGCTCCCTCCACACACACTCACACATAACACAGTCACCTACCACCCCTACACACACTTGCTCTCACACCATATACCCCGTAAACAGGAGTCTCACATCACACACTCCACACACACACACTTATCCATAACACACACACCACACACACTCTCTCATGCCACACATACATAACACACTTACACACCATATACACACAACACACACATACACACTACACACCACTCACAGGCACACACACCATACACCCCTCCCCTCTACACACACACACACACACACTTTTGGGCCTACAGTGACAGTCATGGCAGTCTCTGGCCTCAGGGCTGTTTTGTTCTGAAACCGGGGTTTCGATTCTGGCTAAAATCAGAAGCTGCCCTGTAATCATTTATATTTTTTATTTATTTATTTATTTATTTATTTATTTATTTTTATTATTTCTGAGAGGGAGAGAGGGACAGTGTGAGCAGGGGAGGGTCAGAGACAGAGGGAGACACAGAATCTGAAACAGGCTCCAGGCTCTGAGCTAGCTGTCAGCACAGAGCCCGATGCGGGGCTCGAACCCATGAACTGTGAGATCATGACCTGAGCCGAAGTCGGACGCTTAACCGACTGAGCCACCCAGGCGTCCCTAATCATTTATATTTTTTATTGAACTTCTGAGCACGCACGTGCTGACTGTGAGCCAGCACTGTGTTGCGGGGCACTGTAGTTCTACATATCGTGGCCGCCGTGTCCCTTTTAGAGCCTTCAAGGGCTTGGGTTTGCCTCCCTCTGGGAAGTAGCGTGGTGACTGGCCCCACCTGGCCCAGGAGGGCCCCTGTGCATTACTAAGGACCAGTGGCTTCTCCAAGGTCGCACAGTGAGCGCTGGTCGGAAGCAGGCTTCCTGACTCACTTGTATGCACATCCCCATCTTGGAGTCTTGGTACCAGTCTCCCTGTGCTGGGGGACAGGGTGGCCTCAGGTCAGTGGCCTGTGGCCTGGTGGCCGCCTCAGCGGCAGCAGCCACAACCGACCCTGTAGTACACACACGCTCACACATAACACACACTCACACGTAATGCACGCTCACGCGTAACACACGCTCACGCGTAACACACGCTCACGTGAGGCAGTGACCACGGCCAAGTAGGGAGCCTGTGGCAGAGCAGATCCCTAAGACCTGGTGAGCTCTTTCCTGGGGCCCAACCTGGGTGCCCCATTCCAGGCCGTGTGGAGTTGGTCCTGCGGGGTGCTGGGTAGTCTGCAGGCATCACCGCCTGGCGGCCTGCCCTGCGGGGAAAAGGGGAAGAGAATAGGGAGGCAGGGCAGCCACAGTTCATGTTGCTCCAGCCCTGACTTCTGCCTGCGGCCCGCCCAGTAGGCACTAAGAGGTCAGATCTAGCCCTGGGACCCTGTCACGGTGGCAGGAAGAGGAGGATTCTCCTTACTCTCAAGGGCTGCAGGTTCTGAAGCCGATGCAGCTTCAGCCTACTCCTTTGGGGTGGGCCGCTTGAGAAAGGGCGAGAAACTAGGGAGGGCCCAGAGCTGGGGCCATTGAGGCACAGGTTTCCCTCCTGGGGAGCTTATCATGGGGCGGCCTTGGGTCCAGGCCAAGAAACAGCAGCCAGGACCAGGACCCCAGGGAGGCGAGGGCTCACCCTGCCACACCACCAACAGTGAAGCTTTGACTAGAACCTAGGGATTTGGCCCTTCCTGACAGTCGCTGGAGGAGTAAATAAGATAATTCCCAAAAAGGGCCTGGGGCAGAGAAGAAGCTGGACCATTGTCATGAGCTGGAGCACGAGGAGCCTGAGTGTTAAGCTGGGACCTGGCCGGGACTGCCCAGATCCATTTAGAAGTATTCCTCCCTGCCCCCTCGCGACACGAGCCCAATAGCCAAACCTGCCTCTGGCCACAAGGACTCCTGCTTCCTAAAGCACTACTTGAGTACCTGAAAGAAGGAAGCTCTTGGCTGCCATGGGCACCTCCACCTGCATGCCCACCGTCTCCAAGCCTGACTTCTACCTCCTTTTCTAGCTATTGGCACAGCGTATGCTGTACTTAGTAACCCAGAGAAAAGGAAACAGTATGACCAGTTCGGTGATGACAAGAACCAGGCAGCCCGGCATGGCCACGGGCATGGGGACTTCCACCGTGGCTTTGAGGCTGATATCTCCCCAGAAGACCTCTTCAACATGTTCTTTGGCGGCGGTTTCCCATCTAGTAAGTACCCTACCCCCACCTCCGCAGCCAGGTCTCCCTGGGGGTGATGGTGGGAGACTAGATGCCAGCCTCTCCCTTTTCCTGCAGCCCCACCCCCTGACTCAGTCCCTCTGGCCCCCAGGTAACGTCCACGTCTACAGCAACGGCCGCATGCGCTATACCTACCAACAAAGGCAGGACCGCAGGGAGAACCAGGGTGACGTGAGTGAGGAAGGCACCGGGGAGAGCAGGGGGAGGGTGCCGAGCCCCGCCCAGGGTGCGGGTGCGGGGCCTGAAGAGGGAGTGACATCCCCAGCTGTCTGTCCTGGGACAGGCAGTGCCCCCGCAGTTCCAGGCCAGGGAGCCATCTTAGCCCCTCCTTGCCATTCTACTGAGCGACACTAGAGGGAGCCACACTCCACAGTGCTGCTCAGAAGGCGAGGGGATTTGTTGGCCTCTGTCAGGGAATGCAATGCAGAAAATTCTCCACCTACAGACAGGTTTGAATGTGATTGGCCTTTCTGCAGTCCGTTTGTTCATAAGGCCAAAGTGACATTTTCCAAGCAATGGGAAGTGAAACTTCATGAGAGATTTGTCAAGGATGACAAAGGTCGTTGGCTCTTCTTTTCAGCACTCTTAAAAAATGCATACAAAAGCTAAAGCAAGACATTGCTTCAAAAACACTGAATGCCACGGGTTAAAGAGCAGCTAGCGGACTAAGATTAAAATACTGCAGACAGTTCCATAGCCTTTAAAATTATGACAGGCAGAGGAGTTCCTTTTGCTCTGTCAATGTGACCTTATGTTTTTATTTACTCATTTCTTTAAACTTAGCGTCTGTGTTTGTATTTAACATACAGAAGAGTTTTTTAAATGACAGACTATCACACGGTGAACAAATTTGTTCTTATTTACAATTTAACTGGCAGTTTTTAAATTGGTAATATATTCATATGGTGCAAAATTCAAAAAGGTATACGTATGTAGTGAAAATCTCCCTCCAGCCCCGCCTGCCGTTCTGGAGGAAGCCACTTCAGCTCATTTTGTTGGTGCTCTCTGATGAGTAAATGCATACAGGCACTCTCTTCCCATATTTAATACCAGTTGCTGTTTTGTTTTCATCTGGGGAAACCAGCAGGTGGAGGAGCTTCTGTGTTTTGGGGGGGCCCATGAGAGGGAAGCGGAGAGAGGGGTGTCACGGGCTGTTTGTGGTGGCTGCCTCCTGCCACCCAGGCTCCTTTGTGCCCGGGAAGCTGGTGGTGATTGCGGCTGATGCCGCACTCCCACCCAGGCCCAGCCGAGTGACCACTGGCTCTTTCCTCCAGGGCGGGCTGGGGGTATTTGTTCAGCTGATGCCCATCCTCATCCTGATCCTCGTGTCGGCGCTCAGCCAGCTCATGGTCTCCAGCCCCCCGTACAGCCTGAGCCCCAGGCCGTGAGTACCCACCGCGAGGAACGGGGTGGTAGCCACACACAGACTTCGGATTCTAAGCCCGCGTCGGGGGCCTTCCTTCCCATCCTGAGGGTCATTGATCACAATTCGGAACTCTGGCTTAGAATCAAGAAAATACACTTGCCCTGTTGAGATTAGGTTCTTGATCTTTTTAGTATCACGGTGCCCTAAGAAAATGCAGTGAGAACTGCAGATCTCTTCCCTCGAACACTGCACATACACACAACTTCGCATATGATTTCACAGGCTTCATGTCCCTCCCCGCATTGTACCTGCTGACCTTAAGATAAGAACTTCTGCTCTTCAGTTCTGATTGGGGGGCTTTGGGGCCATGGGAAGACTAGGGGCTCTAGAATCAGAGCAAAAGTGGCTTTGAATCCCAGCTCCTTTATTAACTAAGCAGCTGTGTGACCTTAGACAACTTACATGACTTCTCCGAGACTTGGTATCCTCATCTGTGCGATGCAAATGACATCTCTGTGCTTGTGAAAACTGAATGAGTCAGTCAGAAACATAAAATGCCAGGTTTGGGGTGCCTGGCTGGCTCAGTCAATGGAGCATGAGATTTCTTGATCTCAGAGTCTTGAGTTCAAACCCCATGTAGGGCATAGAGATTACTTTAAAATAAATAAGCAAAAAAAAATTTTTTTAATGCCAGGCTCATTAGAAATGTTCAGTAGTATTTGTTGAATGAATTTATGGTCTCGACTGCCAGTAGTGAACTTGGGCAAGTTATCTGGCCTTTGAAGGCATCAGCTCCCCTCATTTATTTCCAGCATCTGGCACCATATCTGATACCTAGTTACATAGTGGGTGCTCAGCTTCTATTGGTGGGAACCCTCTGCTCCCCCAGAGTGGCCTGGCCCTGTCTGAGAGCCTGGCGGCCTTCCTCTCGGCCAGCAGGGGGCAGAGCAGCACAGGCTCTCTGTGGCCTGTCGCCAGCCCTTACTTAGCTCCGCAGCCGCAGCTGGAGAGGCAGCAGAGGGCAGGTAGGGGCTGTTCACCGCCAGCACTGTCTCCTGTCTGCTGCGTGTCAAGGCGCTGCCTACAGAGCCTGTGGCTGGAGCTGGAAGATAGGACCAAAAGCTGGAAGGACACACGTCCTTGGAGTCCTTGTGTCATGTTGTTCCTAAGCCTCTTAACCCGAGAATGGGCGTTCCTGGGCAGGCAGACAGGCCCCGGGCAACAATCAGCTTAGGGGGAGAGTGCAGAGTTGGAGGCACGGGGACCCCGACTCACACCCCTAATCAGAGGCAGAGCCCAGGCTCCGCTACTGCACTGACCTGGGCCTCTCAAAAGGGGCTCGTCCCCACAGGCCCCGGGTCAGCAGTGTGGTAAGCAGAGAGCCTGAGGAAGGGCTGCCCACAGTGCGGGCCACTTAGACAGGAGGGACAGCCTGCCTTTCCTTAAGACCCTCATTCTGGGTGCCGTGCGAGCTCCTCTCCAGTTCCAGAGGGAAGCAAGTCCTGTGGCCCGCGCGGTACCCCATGTCGGGGGACCCTGTTATCCTTAGAGCTGTCCTGGGCCTGAGGACCCGGGCCCACTTTGTGCTTGATATATTTCTGGCCAGGTCGGTGGGCCACATCCAGAAGCGAGTCACTGACCACCTGAACGTTGTCTACTACGTGGCAGACACCTTCTCCAAGGAGTACACAGGCTCCAGCCTCAAAACAGTTGAACGGAATGTAGAAGACGACTATATCGCCAACCTCCGAAACAACTGCTGGAAGGAGAAGCAGCAGAGTGAGTGTGTGTGTCGCGGGGACAGAGCTTGAGAGCGGGGAAGGGGAAAGCCCTGCTCGCCGGGGATTTGCAGGCCCAGCGCCTGGCACTGCCTCGACCGCCTTGCACCGGCCACCTCCCAGCCAAAAGCGGGACCCCACCCCTGCTTCCCTAGGGCTGGGAGCCAGGGGCCACCTGGAGATTTCCTCCAGGTTCCCGTAAGTCCCTGCCGTCAGCGTGAGTGTGGCTGCCAGAGGTAAGTGTGTTGGAATGGACCGGAGCACATGTCCTGGCCACCTAGCGATTGGCCATCCAGCTGTATCTGTGGGGCCCTAGGGAGGTCTAACCAGAATGACAGGTTCTTTCCTTGACTGATCTTACCTACAGTGTGTAAAAAGGGGCCTCTGTCGCTCTCCCGAGTTGGGACCATAGGCTGCTCTCCAGGGCCTTTCCTAAAGGGAGGCCAGCTCTGCCCCAGCTCCGGCGCCTGTAACAGCCTCCCTCCCACCCCCACAGGCTAGGCAAGTGCTCCGGTAGCCCTTGGGGGAATACCAGGTGTGCCCTAACTCTGCCCTCTTGCTTTGCAGAGGAAGGCTTGCTGTACCGGGCCCGCTACTTCGGCGACACAGATATGTACCACAAAGCACAGAAGATGGGCACCCCAAGCTGTAGCCGACTGTCAGAGGTGCAGGCTTCCCTGCATGGATAGTCCTGGGCCAGCCACGCCGCCGAGGTCCAAGTATGAGCCAGGGCCTCCTCTGCCCTGCAACTCCTGGCAGCTTTGGCCCTGGTCATAAGGCAGAGGAGGGTGGGAGGGAGAGGGAAATAGGCTGTTGATTATGGCACAGACTCCTTGTCCCCGGCCTGACCTCCAGCCTGCAAAGCTGGGGCAGCTCTAGGGTGTGCTCAGAACCCAAGGTCTGGTTCAGGCTCCAGTGCTACTGTCTACTGCCCCCTCCCAATTCCCCGGCTCTGGGAGTGGGGGGTGCCTGAGAATCAGGAGGAGGAACCCAAGGCCATGGCTAAGTTCCACCCCTGCCTCCCTGGTCTGATCGAGCCACCAAGTCACCGTGGCCCTTTCCCTCGGGCCAACAGACTATTGTCTATGCTCTGGTATTTAGGCCACCAAGTATTACTGGTCCCAAGATAGCCCCGCCCCCCCCACACACATAGTCCCCACCTGACAGCAGGAAGAAACACGTGAGAGCAGGTGGGCTAAGATCCCAGCTCTTCCTCTGCCCTTGCAAGCAGGAGGAAATGGAACAAGATGGATGAGCAGCCCCACGGTGGCCCAGGGAGGGAGCCAACAGGCTGGGAGCAGGAGAGGCCTGTCGCCCTGACCACCGCCCTCTAGTGGAATCAGAGGCACGCTCTCAGGTGCCATTGCCCCTGCCCGGCACTTCACCTGTGGTCTGAGGAAGAGAGCAGAAGGTCATGAGTTTAGGGTCAAACACAGAGCCCGTAGCGCAGAAGGGGTGGGGGAAATGCAAGTTGCTGGTAGCAGACTCCACGCCTCCTTTACCCCTGCGTGTGGGTAGTGAGCTCTGCTTCCAGCATTTGCCAGAGGGGACGCACTAGCCCCAGCCCAGAGGATGTAGGCAGAGCCAGTAAAGGTTCTCATCTGGGTTAGTCCCGGCCCATCCGTCCTCTGCCTGTGTCCCCCTCTGCAGGGGTCCAGCTGTGCGTGAAGGCCACCTGCTAGCGCCTCCGCAAGTGACAGAGCGCAGGAGGGAGGCTTGTTCGTGCGGGCTGAGCTGGAGGCTCCCGGCCGCGGGACGGCCAGGCTAACTCTTACCACTCTCCTCCCCAGACCATGAAATCCCTGGAGAATTTTTGGTGACATGCACTGAGCCAAGGTGATGGACTGTATATTTAAGGAAAGACATAAAAAGAAAAATTAAAATGGAATTGGAGGCCGAACGCCGCACAACTGCCCTCTCTCTCACCCAGTAAATGCCGAAGGCCCTTAGGACAGGAAAACCTGCCACGGGGCTGCTTCCCTTCCTCCCAGGGCTGGCAGAGGCTCAGGCTCCACTTCGGCTGCTCCTAGGATACGGAAACCATGGCAACGAAAGTAGAATGTAAAACTTGCAGCAAATGTCTGTGGAAAGGGCTGGGGGAGGGGGCGCCCAACTGCCTTCCTCCCCCTCCCGGGAGCCACCACCAGTCACCTCTCTGTGGAAGCCAGTCAGGGGCATTGGCCAAGGAGAGGAGGAGGAGGAACAAGAACTCTCCACAGAATGTAATTTATAGAGCGTGCATATGTGTGTATATATATATATCTATTTATATGTAAATAGCATATATAAAGATATATATATATATATATATATATACTACTTTTTAAACTATGCAGGGATTTGGCTAAATTGTTTAGCTGATTTCTTCCCTGTTTTAGAAAACGAGGCGTGTTTGGGGAAGGAAACCTGGTCCTTCAAAGGCTGGTAACTAAGCCATGGCTGACAGCGTTAGGAAAGTCGGGTCATAGCTTTCAACGTTCCCCTCAAACCCAGCCTGCTTTTGATGGCAGCGGTAATCATGATAGTGTAAGTCCGTAGAGAACTTGGAGGTTGCCAGCTTTATGGTGAAGCTGGAGCAGAGCAGGCTTTCAGGGGAGAAAGTGCCCCTAGGGTCAGGTACCACGACAGCACTGAGTCATGGTAGAGGCCCCAGGCAGCCTGTGGGCGTGAGGCCACCTTCCTCAAGCTTTGGTCAGCTCAGGTGGGCTCTTAGTCCTGGGGCCCGGGAGCTTTCTGTCTCCCTGTGACAGAGAACAAGGTTAGAGAGGGGGACCAGGTTTTGCCTAGCCACCTGCCCCCCCCCCCCCGCCCCGCTTAGTCCCAAAGAGGGTTTTGCCTTATAGATGCCACAGGGCACAGCTCCGTTGTTGCCATTGGCTTTTCCCAAGTCGTGCACCAAGAACTCCAGAAGGTTCTTCCTCCATCAGCCAGGCGGTGCCCAAGACCCTGGGGCAGCAGCCGACTCCTGAAGAAAAGTCTGTGCCTGTGGGCACCTCTGTCTCCGCCCTCCATGGACATGATGCCACCTGGCCTTCTGTTGCACTTTGGACAAAGGCTGCACCTGAACCAGAAGGGTTTTCTTATACTCACCTTGATGTGAGGGTTTTTCTCAAAACAGCAGTTGCTGCCAGGGGAAGGGAGGGAGGCTTTATTTATTCCCACAGTTTATACTGGGTCTTTTGGAATTACTGTTTTTCCTGAATTTTCCTCTGGCAGCGGGTGTGTCATTGAGCCTGCCATCTTCCAAAGCCTTACTTCCCCAAGCTGCCAGCCAGGAGGTGATAACTATCCTCTCAGAGTTTCTCTTGGCTCTTTTTTTTTTTTAAGGTCTTCCCACCCCCCCAACGAACAAAGATTCTTGCTGGTAAAGGAAGCCTGGTAAAGAAATGTCAAAATGGTTTTTGAACAAGATCCTGCCCTGTGATGTAGCAGCCACCCCGGCCCAGAGAGATGATAAGTGGAGGTGGGCGAGAGTACCCACCCACCCACCCGCGGTTGGCCCGGTGCTCTGCCCCCACCACCCCTGCCGTCTGTTCTGGGTAGATGTCCCTAGGTGGGCTGACCCATGTGCAATAAGAACACAGATCCTAAAGGATCCCCTGAGAAGCTGTTATTTCTTGAAATTAGAATTCTAAAATTGTACATCTATAAATATATGTTTATTATGTGATTGGCCTCAGTGGGTCTGCATTGAACAAGGGGGCTGAGGTGATGGGCCACAAACACCTGTTGCTACTGACCCCACCTAGGAGTCTGGTGACAGTCCCAATGTCCTCCTCACCCGTTGCCCCAGCTGACGGCCACTTAGGTCACAAGTGTTGTTCCAAGGCTGACTCCATCCAGGCAAAGGGTAAGGGGCTTAATCAGGCTGGGATGCTGGGGTTCCCTGATAACCTCTGGTTCCCCTTGTTCTGCTCCCTCTCCATCCCTGCCGTGAGCAAAACGTTCAGAAGCTCCCCCTTCCCCAGCCAGGAGCTAGAGCCCCCTCCCGATCCAGAGCAGGGAGAAAGTTACAAGTTTCTTTCCCCCTCTGGCTGCATGGTCTTCCCTGACGTGCTTCCCACACCGCCCCACAGCCCGCCCTCCTCCCCCAAAAGGTTGGAAAAGTTAAAAAATGTGGCAGCCAGAGTAGAGCTTTCTGTGAATGGAGCTGCAGATCTGCCTGGGCCTCCCAGAGACAGGGCCCGGCAGCCCTGACTGGCGGCCCGAGGCCCCTCCCGCTACCGCTCCAGCCAAAGACAGGCAGGCTGCCCAGTGGTGCCACTGCAGCCCGGGAGCTCATTGGCTGCCCCTGCCCGGGGTCACCAAAGCCGGCCCTGCCTCGTCCTGCGAGCCGCCGCTTGTTAGCTGCAGTTGGCAGAGGCAAATGCCAGCCGCCCCCATTTACTCCTCCCCTCCGCTTGCAGCTCAGGGAGCCAGCAGGGACGGGACGGACCCTGTCCGGCTGTTTGCTGCAAAAAAAGAGCCTTTGACAAGTGTCCCCACCCACTGTCAGGTGGCAGAAGGAGCCACTCACTAGTTCATCCAAACTCCCAGGATCTGCCAGCTTATCTCTGCGTCCTAGGCTGCCCCCAGGTCTCCAGAAGGGTGCAGCTCCTGGAGCAAGGAGCACCCGCCCTGCCCCAACTGTAGTCTCCTCACCCCAACTTGTGGGGGCAAAGTCACCTGGCTGTCCAGGGCAGGTTCACGGGCTGCAGTGCCAAGACTCCGGTAAATAGACTGTTGACACAGTGTCGGCTCTGGAGCAACTCGGAATCCTTACCAGATGTCACACCTTGTGATTTGGGCGAGCTGGCCCATTCCCACCCCCTACCCCCAGCAGGAAATTGAAGCTTGGGGGAGGGAAGGTGATGCCCAAGGGTCCCCATGAAACTTTGCATGTCCTTGGCGTCTGTGTAGCAAAGCAGTCATTCTGCAAACATTTGCTGAACTTGAATTCATAATTCTCAACAACACTGACCCCATTCGTACCAAGCTGAGTGGCGGGAGACATGTCCAGAAAGGTGGAAAAGGGAGGAAGCCACACTAGGAAAAATGGAACTTAATCTGAGGGGCTGGAGCTGGCTCTGGGGCTGAGTTTCCCACAGGGGCAGGTGCACTCTCTCCCAGCACTCAGCCCCGCTGCTGCGACCCCCTGAGTTGGCATCACCCCGGGAGACAACATAATAGATCAGTTGGGGATCAGCGTGGACCCCACAGCCCAGCTGCCTGGACTGAATCCCTTTACTATTAACCTGGGTGGTCCTGGGCAAGCCACTTAACCTCCCTCTGCCTCAGTATCCTCATCTTCAAAACGAGAGTCATAAAATCACCTACAGTGGGTTATTGTGAGGAGTAGAACGGTCATCACGTGTGCAGCACTTAAAACGGCGTCTGGTACATGGGAGGCTCTAAGTATTGTCACATGTCCTTAGATGACAAAGACTAACACCACTGGCTTGAGTCCCATGCTAGCACGGAAACCACAATGCTGGCAACCGGGCAGGGGGATGAGCAGAGTACGTGATAGACACAGAGCTGGGGGCGTGGCAGGTGTGAGCGGCTGCGGCTGCGGCTCTGTCAGGGGCAGGGGAGTCTGGGCAAAGGAACTGGCCCCGTGAAGGAGGTGGGAGGACACAGGACAGCAGGGCTGGGGGCGCAGTGGGGCCAGAGGGGACAATGTGAGTGAAGTCCTGGCGCCGGCAAGGCACGGAAGTGACCACAGTCTAGGAACAATACACAGGCCAGGCCCCCGACCCTAATTGTCATCTGCTTCGCTGGGAATGAACGAACTAACCAGAGACCTCATGCTTCCCATACCGTGGTGGTTGTCCCCTGTCTGCTCAATTGTGCATGCGACAAGCATTCCTAAAACCTTTCCAGGGCTAGGCCCTGCCCTCCAGGAGGCCCACGGAACAAGCCAGCCCTGGAAGGCTAGCCATGTGGGGGTGGGGGCAGGGGACTGGCAAAGTTGGAGGCCCTCACTATCACACCCCCCCCCCCGGCCCCTGGCCTCATGCAGGGATGTTTTCCCAGGAACAAGGCCCAGGCCTCCTGTCACTGGTATAGCCCCACAGCTCGATGGGTAGGAAATAAAGGTCCAGGTCCCAGACACAACAAAGGGTGTGAGAAGGCACTCTACTCTCTAGAACCCCTATCTCCAAGCAGCACCTAGAGCTGGGCCTTTGCTTAGCAGGAGAGTGAGGGCCCGACTGACACACCGTGTCCACACTTACCCCCCTCTTCTGCTTCCATAGTTTGGTCCAAGGAGGGCAGGAATGCCCATCCAACTCTGGGCTTACCCTTGGGGACGGGCAGGGTACAGTCCCCCAGTAGGGTTGGTGCTGGTAAGGGCAAGCGGTCAGGCTCAGGGCCTTCAAGGACTCTGGTCAGCAGCCCCACTCCTTAACTGGATTCTTGCCATTTTGCTGATGGACACAGTGAGGGAGCCCAAGAGACAGATTATCTGAGCAGCACGTGGTCTCTTTTTACAGACGGGGAAAATGGAGGTCAGACGGAGGGAGTAAGGTCCTTCCTTAGCTGGCTCCACGTGGCCTGCGGGGCCCTTGTGCTCTGACCCCGCTGCCCGCTCCGGAGCCTCCAGCATCCACCCTTCCCTAACACGCTGCCCCAGTTCCTCCTGCCAACAGCCTCCCCCCTGCTCCTCCACCCCACCCGCTCCCGGAGGCCTGCCCCATTCCCACAGCCTCCCAGCCGGCCCGCCCTCTCACGCCAGGCACTCCCAAGGTGTTTGTGCAGCGCTCGGACAAAGGCTTCGCGGCCTGGAGAGACCAGGGCCTGTGTGGGGCCCGTCCGTCTCGTTCAGCGCTGCAGCCCCGGGCACGGTGAGGCCTCCGTGAACACGGCTGCAGGAAGAAAGGGGGCCCCGGGCACCGACATACCTCTCTGATGGCCACGGGTGGCTGTCCCTCCACTGCTTCCTCCACCCCATCAACACTGCCCAGGGTCACCCTGTAGGCAGCTCTGCAGCCATACACCTGCGTACAGAACCAGGGACACTTCTCCCAGATCTGAGAGGGCTCAGGTGAGGCGTGCCCATCTGCCTAGAGGGACCTGCACCCAGCTGGCCGGTGCTGGAAGGGAAACCGGTCTTGCAGGATAAGCACCGAGTAGGGCTTCTGTCCACTCTCTGGGGGAAGCAGAGGCCTGCTGAACAAGCCCCGTGTCTGCTCTCCCTCAGTGAGGATGGGCGTCCCAGGGGCTGGTGGGAGAATCGCCAACAGCACTCATCGCTGCGGGAGCCTCTGAAGCAGCCACCACCCCATGGGTAGCAGAGGACGCCCTCCTGCACTCAGGCTTGCGCCCATGGCACTACCCATACCTGGGCTCAGACCCACTTCTGTCCCTTGGCTGCCTCGGTACTGTCCTGCCCACAGGTCTCAGGGTCCCCGCCCGCAGGCTCCGCCACCCGCTGACCACCACCCATGCCCAGCCATGGCTACGCAGGCAGCAACTGTTTGGGTGGCGTCCAGGCTGCGAGCCGCTCGCTGGCTTCAGGTGGCACACAGGCGGTGCCTAGACTGCTCCCATTAGTGCGACTGTGGGCCTCAATCTCCCTCCGGACTCTTAGCACGGAAGCCACAGGGCACAAGGCTTAGAAATCAGGTTCCAAGCCTCAGCTATAAAGGACATTTGTATCATTTTCCATTTGTAGCACTTAGCCTTTTTTCGTTATAATTTTGAAATTAGACATAACTTGATATTGTTATTATCCTCCTCCTGCAGACCTCACTGGTTTTGTCCCTAATGTCAGCTCTGTCAACTCCGGGGTCTTGGGCTTGCTAGCCTCACTGGGGTGGGCTTGGTACAAACAGGCCAACCCAGGGGCCGGGGCCCCTGCTGGACCCAGCCCGACCCCAGGACTTGAGCCCAGTTCACAGCCAGCCTAGGGTACCCGTCCGTGGCAGGACTGCATCCAGGGCACGGGATGGAGTTGCGTGACCCACATCTGTTCATATTATTAGCACCAGAGTCGGCTGGCCGAGCCTGTAACACAATTCGAGGAACTGTTGACTGGGCTCGTGTTTCCAGCCCAGCTGGCTGGAGGGACACATGGAGCGCCGGGCGGAGGGGGCCTCTGCCTGTCGCCCTCCCCCCATGCACCTGTTGTCAAGAGAGCCAGAGAAGACTGCACGTCCCTCCAGGGTGCTGCTGATGTCATTGTGGACACTGCACACCAAGGGGTCCCCGGACGAGCCAGGTCAGCTGCCTGGCCGCTGCACCTGTTTGTGTAGTCTCAGCTTGTGAGACCTGCCTCCCCCTCCTCCTGCCCTCCGTGCTCCTCCCTGAATCAGGGAAGACAGTGACTGGGCCGTTAGCTGGGAAGAATGCCTGCCCTAGACCCCAGGGTGAGGAAGATTTCCCTCTTTCCTGGCTCCCTCATAGATTTCTACCTCTTTTTCTGTTGCCGGTACCTGCAGGCGCCAGCATCCCAGGGGTAAGCTAGAGACAACCTGGGGGAAGGCCCGGGGCTCCTGGCTAAGCGCCCAGCTCTGCACCTCCAGGCGACGGGGTCGTGAGTCAGTTTCAGTAAGATCCTTAAGCCCTTGCCCTCATCTGTCAAGTGGGAATCTCAGACCTGTCCTGCAGGGGGATGGAGCGCATGTGAGAAGAGGTATGTGGACGTCCTTCACGAGCCCAGAAGTGCCCCCCAAAGCTTGCCTGTGGCGT